CTTATGCCCATATTGAAGACCTTGAGATAAAAAGATTCATACCTATGTTAATTCAAGTTGTTTTATCTCAGTACAAAGTGAACTGCAATGTTGCTGCTCAAGTTTTCAGGTAGAGGCAAAGAAGTTTCCAGGATCAAACCCTGGAGAGGCACTGGCAGCCATCACAGCAGGGGTGAAACTATGTGCCACCTGGATGTTTTGGCCCACAACTCCTATTAAGCCTTGTCAATGGCTATGTTGGCTAAGGGCAGAGGTGGGTTGTAGGCCAAAACATCTGGAGTCTTACAAGTTGCCCAGCCCAGGTGAATACAAACCTGGCCTAAAGGAAACTGGAGATACAAGGAACAGAACAGCAATGGAAGATGTACTGACTATATTCCTGCCTTATTCAGCAGAACAAGAATGGATCTATCACCTAGCAAGTGCCAGCCATGAGCAAAGGAAGACTGGACTCCATCAAGGGCTGTATCAATTCCAGCAGCTCATACTCATCCCCTTCCTCAGTGAAAATGGTGGCCAAACAGTAATGCCAAAGGATATCGGCTGGGGGAAATGCAAGGGAAGGGAAGGGTATTCTGTGTAAGCAATCCTGGCACATGAAAGCAGCATCATTTCTGTCCCTGAAACTACTTTTTAAATGTAATTTCTCTGAAAGGGTTTTTGTAAGCTGCTTATAAAATCAAGGATAAGGTTAGCAATGGCTACTAGCCATGATGGCTAACCAGGACTTGCTTTTCAGTTCTGGTTGCTAAGAACACGAGCAAGCGGGTGTTAATGCGACCACGTCCTGCTTGTGGGCTTCCCACAAAGGCATCTGGTTGACCACCGTGTGATCAGAATACCCAGCAAGAGAGGTCTTACCTCGCCACTCACTTGTCCTGGTGCTTGTTATGCAAGCACAGGCTTCCTGTCAAAACCAAGTCCTGATCTTGAAGCTGGCCTTGCACACACTGAAATATCAGATGCAACAACAGGTACAAGGCACATAGTCAATAAAGGCAACCTGCACAGAAACCTCCACAGGTGACATGTTCCAGTGATTTTAGCTGGGAAATGACTGTGTGATGGGAAATGACTGCTGTAGCGAGCTGTCCTGTGCTTTTCTTGCACAGATTTAAGTTTCCGTGCATTGTCAAAGCCTAGTTTTTGCATTTTCTTACCATCTGAACCTGGTTAAAAGTTCACCCCTGCACCTACTTTCACTCTCATGTTTATAGACATCTCCCAATTGAATAAAATATCACATGCATGTGATGATGCTGACTTGGCTCTTGAATCATGTCCTACCAAGAACTCTTTGTACTTTTGCTGCAGAAGACCTGTGGCTACCTCCCTGAAAATCTCAATCATATTTGCTTGGAGACCAGTCTCACTGAAGTGAGATTTACTCCCATGACCTCTTCTCTCTCTGTCTCTCTCTCTCTTTTGTGGGATGACATATCATCCATAAGTTCTCTCTATCCAAAAAAAGAGAGGGGGAAGTGCAAAATGGCTGTCCATGCTGGATACTGAAATAGCCTCAGGACCTTTTAGACCAGAACCCTCTCCCTCCTTCATTGTCCTCGGAGATGCAAGTGCAGTTGCTGGCTTTTAAGACCACACATTCTTTCCAGGGGAGGCTGGCCACAAATGTAGAAACCACAACCCTGTTACACTCTGATTCAATCAGCAGAATCTTTTGAATGTTCCTCTTTAAGGCAGCATGTACTGCATAGCACTAAAAATACTATGCATACTGTTAATATATTTATGCTGTTTTATATCTCTGACAGGACTCATCTGCTGTTTATGTTGAGCTTCATTCTGCTTTTTTAAGTGGATTTACAAACTACTGGAAGATAAAGAGAGATTAACATTTAATATAGCCCTCAGTGATATCATTTGGCGGGGTGGAACCATTTTCATGTCTGAATAGCAGCACAGACATGTTTTGAAGAACAGGTCTTGAAGACCAACAAACCACTCTCGGTTGCCTAAACAGCCTGCTCTTTGCTTACAAAATAATAGCATAAGCAATATTGCTAATGACTCTGCAGAAGTCCAGTCACAAACGAGATATAAACAACTTTGTAAACATTCACTGGGTTCCCATTAAAGATCATATTCCACCACTTCAGTTTACTCCACTTATGTGAATTATTCTAAAATGATAGCCTAAGAAATAAGTACAAGGTTCATGAAGCTCCACCTGACTGAATTCAGGGGAAATGGTCTGCTTTCCACCCTGGCCTACCTCACAGCATTTTATCTTGACAGATGTTTGCCTCTTTCTGCCTCATTTCCATTCTGGCACAAGTCATTTGAAGACAGATGGTTAAGCAAGGAAACATCCACAGGACTGATAAACAAGGAAAAAAGAAGGTTCAATCATCTAATATTCCATGATGTACTTTATACATTAGCTGTACATCACCTACTGCAAACATCTATATTTAAAGGCCCATCCTAATTTCAGGTCAAGGAACATCTGCACAGATGTGTTTGGGAAAGACATTCATGTTACAGAAGCTATGAGCTGCAGGCTTACAGTTCTGAAATAAATATACTGCATAACTTGTACAGGCATGCTCAATTATTTTGCCTTGTCCAAAAGTTATGAAACGTATTCTTTTAGCAGACAAACATCCCCCAAAACAAGGACCAGATCAGACTTTATCTGAGTATTTCACACTTGATGGCTCACAAGCCTTGTGTGAGAGAGGATAAAAAAGTGCTCTCAGTACAGTTTGTTTATAAAGGTGCATTCACACATGAAAGTCACCAAAGGATGTGCAAGCATTGAGTAATAAACACATATGGGCATAGCAGCCCAAAATCATACACTGTGTGTGTCAAAATCTTTCCAACTGGTACTAACAATGGATCATTCCCCTACCCAACAAAAGATGTACAGTGATTCTGAAATACTACAAGAGGCCAGAAAGAGAAGAGAAAAAAGTGTCTCACCAAAGCAACACTTCTGTCTCTCAAAGGACAGAGTGGCTGCCACAGAAGCAGCCATGAGGAAGAGGCAATTGATGCCACAAGCTTGATGTTATGCTTCCATGACCCATACAGAGAACCTGTGGCCAAAGCAACCCAGGTCTTAATTCTGCCTAGCCTCCCATTCTCCATATTGGATTTGCTGGTTGCCTCCAGTCAGTCAGTGAAATTCATCAATTCATCTCACTCCCTCCAGAGTCACTGCTTTCTTGGGGCTTTTGCACCCAAATTCAGAGAAGCCTCCAATGGAACAACTATCGCTGACCCAAAAGCCAGCCCCAATTTGAAGACAATTTCAGAAACTGAAGTATCAGTGAGATGATTGGCATGCCTTCCTCAATCACGGCAGGATGAAAGCACATCCTTTAGTTTCTCTTGTTCCGGCTCTTTCTTTCTCACAACACAGATCAAGTGGTAAGCCATACTGGAAAGGAAATACAACAGTTTCTTCACTGTGGGAGCACAGACTGCTTGCGCTGAAGAGGGGAGATTGTAATAATAATACTAGGGTGGCAGGTGGAAATAGATCTTAAGACAGGTGGTTTTCCTGCACGGGTCTCCTGATTTCTATCTTGCTAGGGAAACAGAATATTACTGGGTATGGGTATTTCATCCCAAGCATTGCAGCAAAGGGACAAGTAGTATGTGGAAGCACTTCCGTTCCTTTCTAAAGGTACTTGAGACCTGCCATGTTTAAACCTGGCTACTGGCTACCTCCTGGCCTTTGGCCTTCAAGGATGCTTTAGGGCTTCCCTGCTTCTACAATTTTCCTACCCACATTTTGCTCAGGTTTTGGCTTTTCAGTACACTGTCTGCTGCAGCCCTTCTTCCTTTAGTGCAGCGGTGAGCGACTCCCAGAGGTCCAGGGGCTGTTTTTGCAGCCCAGACTCCAGCATAAGTTGGGGTGCCTTCAAACCCTGAAATCACCCATTTGCTGTCAAAATTTGATGGTAAACTGCTCCTTAGCACTTCAGAGGCTAAATTTAGCTGGTTTCCAATCTAAATCTGGCATTTTTCGTACCCTGTAGTGGCTATGGACTGAGAAAGCGGCCTAATATAGCTTGTAACAAGCCAAATGTGGCAGTTTGGGAACTCAATAATGACCATGGATGCCTTTAGAGGAGAGATTTTGTGTGTTTATTAGATTTATATACCACCCCATTAGCCAAAATGGCTCCCTCTTTTTTTACTTTGGAAGGGCACTAGGAGACAGTGGAAAATGCAATAGATCCTGCAGGCTGTACATTGTCCACCCTTTCTCTAGGTCAGGGGTCCTCAAATTTTTTAAAAAGGGGGCCAGTTCACTGTCCCTCAGACTGTTGTGGGGCCGGACTATAGTGTGAAAAAATATGAATTCCTATGCACACTGCACATTAAAAATTAAAAATAAATTTAATTTAAAAATTAAAATTTAATTTAATTTAAAAATTAATTAAAATTAATTAAAATTTTAAAAATGTTTACTCTGCTCACTTGGGCTGCAGCAGAAGCCCAAGATGAGGTGGGGTGCCCGTCTTCCCTGCACAAGTGCACCCGCGATCACGGCCATCTCCCCACTTGAGTACACCTGCGCTGGCCCAGAGCTTTTGGACTCGCTCAGAGATTGTTTTCTCCGAGTGAGTCCAAAAGCTCTGAGGCTGGCCGGATCCAGCCCACAGGCCATAGTTTGCGGACCCATGCTCTAGGTGGTTGGCCTTAGTTTCTCTAACCCTGGCCAAGCATCTAATTCTTCTTTACCCAAAAACTTCCCTCTGCCCCTTTACCCTGTGTGGCAGAGGCTCATCTCAGCCAAACAGTACCCTCACTTCAACTCATGGGTGTAAAATGCTGTGGACATTATCAGCTCAAAAACATCCTCCAGAAGACAGAACATTGGTGAACATTTCACAAGTGCTAGAAGTATCCATTTATTTGAAATCCATCCCTTTGAAAATGCTACAATTTCATTCACAGTGTTAAAGTGGATTCAAAACACAACCTAAGCCAAGCAGTTAATCTTAGAAAATTTCTCTACTTACGCCTCCCATGGTAATACCATGAATAAGTGCCACGAACGGTTTCTGGCAGGTACCTGTCACAAACAATACAACACATATCTATGTTTAGCGTAACACAGTGCACACTTCTGTAAGGAAAGATCATTGAAATCCTTATGATGTGACTTAAATGTCCAAAGGCATGACCAAATGATAATAATTTCGAGTTCCTGAGCAAATGGCCATGCTAGTTGGCCACAGCAAAGACAAGCATAGGAATTCCAGCACCTTCGAGACTGACCAGAACATACCGTATACCAAAATAAGTCTTCCAGTTGTTGAGGCACCGCAAAACTGAGTATTTTCTGTATTTTTAATGCTATGTCATCCTTTGTTTTAATAAACTTTCTTCAATTGTTCAAAACAAAGTAGGATCAAGAAAGACACAGCACAACAGTAATACCGGATCAGAGCAATAACTAGCAGTGCCACTAAAGTCAGATGAAAACTTGCTTAAATCCCATACTGGTGGCCCTTGGTAAATAAAAGCTATCATCAGGTGCCAAAAGAACATGAAAACAGGTGCCAGAAAAGCTCCCCTGTGAAAGGCATTCTGAATGCAGGGAACCGTAACATGCCTGATCAGCCTTTGACAGCCTGGTGAGCAGCAGATGTGTTGGACTGTAAGTCCCATCATGCCCAGCCAGCATGGCCATTTGCACAAGACTGGTTCTGGCTTCATTGATCATCATAAAGCAGTATCAGTGCGGTGCAAACCAGTGAGATTAAAATAATTTAAGAAAGGAAACCCAACTGCGAAATCAAGCAGTGTTTACTTATTGGTTGTAATACTTCTTCCACCTGTTCTGATTTAGCTCTCCTTTTTATGTTGCTATGCAGCGTAACTACAAAACGCCATGTCACAGATCTCAAGGCAGCCAATCAGTACACACCTGACAGGGACAGCAGCCAATCATCATTCCCTAACGTGTCTGATACACTTGTTCGCAAACAGATGTTTGTAGCATCCACAGCTTTATGCTTTGGCTGCACCCTTAAGACATCCTCAGAGTGCACCCTATAGCACAATGTGTGAACTAACACAAATGAGAAAGCTCTTTTTCTAGACATTTTGCCTTTTTTCTGCTCTGCCAGGGCTTCCTGAAATAAAACAAAAGGGGCAGCCCCACACAAGCTTAGGCAGAACAAAGTTTACAGCTCCCAGCATACCACAGCCAAGGAGGTGTTTCTGTCTTATAATGCATAGGATAGCTCCTTAGACTCATATAGTAATGACTCCCCATTCCCTTCCAATTGCAGCAGGTTTCATGTCTGGATGTGGAATGCATGAGAAGTGGCATATTTCATGAATATCTGAAATTCTCAGAGGGAGCCCTGAGTGCTGAGCTGAAGCTATGGCTTTAAGAGAGAGTCTTCAGCTTCTCTTTTTTTCAAAGAGATGTCCAACTCTTACCAGGATTTAATACAGTGAGTTGCTGTTGATTTATTTAAAGTATTTTTATCTTCCTCAGCCAGAAAGGCTCTTGGAGTGGGTAACTGATAGACGCATCCCTGCCCACGGGCTTGCAATCTAAAAAGCCACAATGCATGGAGAAGGGCTGGGGAGGAAAGACGAGGGGAATGCAGGGAACAGCCCTCTGCCTTCTCTCGCCTCCTCAGTACTGCTGCTGGAAGTACTGCCTTTGTGAAGGTGGCCCCCAGGCAAAGCTGCTGGAATGGCCCAGCTCGCCCTCGGCATCTTAACAGCTTGGATGAAAATCCAGGCTTTCACACACGCTTTTTAAGGAGGACTTCTATGTACTGCACTTAACTGCGTTGGCATTTATGTATTTATTATATTTATATCCTGCCTTTTTTCTCTCAAGGAGGCTTCCATAACTCCCTTCCTCCTCTCACTCTTATCCTCACGACAACAACCCTCGGAGGAGTATACACACCAATGGCATTGTCCAAGATGTACTCTTCTCGGAAGAAATCATGAACCAATCTGTCTCCCCTTTTTCCTGCTTCCATGATAACTAGAACACAAAATAAAGGTCAGATTAGCTAACAGAAGATTAGCTAAACAAAAAGCTTACTCTGCAATAAGCTTTCATGAGAAACATTACAGTATATACACTGCAACAGTCAATGTATTTTATCATGTTGTAAGCCGCCCCGGGGTTTCGGCAAGGGGCGGCATAGAAATGTTATAATAATAATAATAATAATAATAATAATAATAATAATAATAATAATAATAAACACTGCACAGAGGATCATGTTTACTTACAACTATAAGTATAGTATTACTTGTAATACTATAATACTATAAAATGTATTATATTTTAATTTTATGTTGTGAGCCGCCCCGAGGCTTCGGTGAATGGGGTGGCATAGAAATGTTTTAAACAAACAAACAAACAAACAATTTAGTGGAACTAATTGAATTTACTTAGGAACAAGAGAACGAAGGGATGCCACTGTGGTGGTTAGCAGGGGTAAGCAACATGACACCTGTGGGCACTAGTGTATCCCTGGACATATTTCTTGGAGTCTGCCAATGCACAATTCCCCCACATTCACCTGGGATTGCTGTGAAATAGATTTCTGCCTATGATGAAAACCACAGGTTCCAAGAAGTTGCCCGTACACTGCCTTTTTTGGCAGGTTATTTATGTTTTGTCACACCTTCCATAGCAGCTATTTGAAGAACAGTTTCTCAAATTGCCTAATGTGCCCAGGGCCCCAGGAAGTGCAGAGTGTTCAGCTGGGGAGACCCAGTTCAGATCAGCCGTGAAGCTCATGGAGTGACCCTGGGCCAGTCAGACTATCTCACCCAATTCGCCTCCCTGGTATTCTCAAGGTTATACAGGGAAGGGTGATCATCAGCACAGAAGGAAAAGCAGAAACTAAATGCAAAAATCTGACAAGTAAAATGCAAGAGACTGGGTCCAAACAAGGTCCCATGCAAGGGCATGAACACGACTTTTCTTGTTCTTGGCGTTTCCCCAGCAACCCCTCTTGAAAAACCTCTCACAAGAGCTGCTGAATGGATAAGCTGTGATGCATGGGTCGGAAGAGGGGGGACCCCCCCCCCAAATTAGGACGAGGCAGAAGGGAAAGTCCATTTCAGCTCTTCTGCAGGGTATCCTCCAAATTACAAGGTGTGCAGGCCCCAGGGTTGCATTGGCTCAAAAGCTATAGTTGGATGAAGCATGGTACTGCTTTCCCTCAAACACCAAAAATAAATTTTTGAACTGTTAACTTTGTGAGCAAGCTCAGATTCTCACCTCTGATATCACCACCTGCACAGAAAGCTTTGTCTCCAGCTCCCTTTATTATTATTAGAGAAGTGTTGGGATCCTGTTCCCATTTCTGAAAATAACAAGGAAAAAGGTTATGCCATAAGATCAGTAAAATATGCTGCTGCTTCTCTTTCAAAGTACCCAAACACGTTAGAAAATGAAGAGCCCAGCTGGATCACCTAGGAAGAATACAAACTTAGAGCACTGTAACTGCAATATGACAGATGTAACCTCAGACACAAATCCAACCAAGGTCAATGGGGCTTACTCCTCAGAAAGTGGGTATCCGACTGCAGCCTTACAGACTAACTGGCTTATTATAGGCAGAACTTCCACAGAGATAAATCTGTCATCATACCTGCATGAGATGGACTTGCAAGTTCGTAGGTGTATATATTCTACTTCAGGAAACACAACAAGGAACATCTATTTTTATTTATTTATTTTTGCTTTGCTCCTGAAGGGTGTTTAGGCAAGTCATAAGCTCATCAGCGCAGCCTGTACAGACTAGAAATACATTTGCTTCTTGGCATTCCACAGCCTGACATAGCTGTTAACAGGTAAAATGCTAGAAAGACAGATCGAATTTTAAATAACTGTAGGCAAATAAAGTTGTGCACGAATTTCTCAATGTTTTAATAAGACACTTTGCTGATGCATTACTTATTATGAGAATTCCTCACATAAAGGTGTAGCATAATTGAAATGGTGGGAGAAACACAGTCAGCAATTCTGTACGTCTTTCGGATATTCACACATTCTAGTAAGTGATTAGAGGCAAAACTAGACAAGATGGCTGCATCCCTGTGTTTTCAAAGACAAATCAGGAAACAAAAGGGGCACAGAAGCAGCAGGTGGGAGAGGGCAATGAACAATTCCTATGCCTAATACTTTTACACCAGCAACATAAAGCAAACAGAATAAATGATCAATGCTCACAATACAGAAAAGTGAGCAGTGGGGTCCCACAAAGATCTGCTTTGGAACTGGTGCTTTTTCACTTGTTCACAATTGATTAGGAGTTTGGAACAAGCACTGAAATGACATAGGTTGCTGGTGACAACAAGGTAATGTGTAAGGCGGCTTAAACAAAAAAGAATGGAAAAAAGCTCCAGAAAAACCTGCCTCAACTTGGAGGGAACAGGCATAAAAAAGGCAACTGCGATTCGCTGTTAGCAAGTGTAAACTGACAAGTGTCAAGGAAAGTGTTGCAACCATATGTATGCTGACAAGATGGCAAATTCCATGCTGGGTATAATTTAAAAGGAAAAGGAAAAAAAAAAACCCTGCCAATATCATATTATCATATGAGCTTTTTACAAATTTGTGATGTGACCATACTTGGAATACTATGTGCTGGTCTGGTTACCATGCTTCAAAAAAGATACTGCAGAGTTGGGAAAAGTGCAGAAGAGGGCAAGTAAAATTATCCAGGGGTTGGACCAACTCCCCCATGTTACAACATCTGGTTTAGCTTAAAAAAAGAAGAAAGGAGGAGACACGATAGAGGTGTACAGACATATGCAGGCTGTGGAGAAAACGTGAAACAGAATTCAGGAGAGAAAAGTAAATATTGCTTCATACCACACATGGTTACACTGTGGAATCTGCTACGCAGAGGAGTTGTAATGACCACCACCTTGGATGGTTTTTAAAGGGACTCAGACAAATTCACAGAGGATAAGCTTTGCAGTGGCTACTGGTCCTGATGGCTACACATTATCTCCAGTATCAGCTGCTGCCTGACACTCGCTGAGTGGGAGCATGTGATTCCACCCAGGTCCTCCTTGTGGGCTCCTCACACTGAGCTGGTTGGATGTCATGTGAAAAGCACGAGGCATTGGATGGACTTTTGGTCTGACCCAGTATGGCTCTTTATCTTCCCCAATCCCAACAGTTCTTCCCCCAGTTGGGCACTGATAGCAGGACAGATGCAAAAGCAGACAGGGCTCCTCTACTTTTAATAACTGCGTATAGGATAGATTTCAACAGGTCGAAGAAGAGTTCACCAGTCTTCTCTCACTTGCTGCTTCTATAAGCACTTTATAGCAGGATGGTAGCAACCCACATCTGAGGCCACAGTCTAGCTCCAACTCTAGTCCCGCTAGCCCAAAGCTTTCTGCTTCATAAAGCATCTTTTCTTGAACAACACAGTCATGGAGAAGAACAGAAACCTCTGATCCTATCTCCCAGGGCATAAGAAGCACTTAAGGGAAGAGAGGAAGAGTCCCAATAGCTCTAGCAGTCTTGCTAATTCCTCCAGCTCTCCCAAGAGATCTAGCAATGCTTGCTGAGGAACAGCCAGATATGAAGTAGTATTATCTCTGCGCTCCACTGGAAATTGAGTGAAACCCAAAAGTCACAAGCACTGTAGCTCCACCTAAGAGCTAAGTCTGAATAACTGAGAAACCAGGAACAGTAATAAAATCCCAAGATTGCTTAGGAATCCTAATGAAAGCGAATGTTGCCACATCTTGCCTTCACCTGCTGCCTCTGGTGGAACTAGCCACCCAAGACATTATATGGCTGTTGTGACAGCAACTTGGCCAATCTCAAGGAAAACGGCAAAAAAGCTCACTCATCATGAAATCCTGCCCTCCACAAACAAAGCCCAGTATAGTTGCCATAGTATAACACAATGCTTTTCATGATTTGAATTTTCATTTTTAGCTAAAAGCCATCATTGATCATTCAGTAATACAATGAAAAAGGGAAAACACTGACCAGAATATAATTAAGACTAATATTCATTACAAAGTCCAATATGTATCTTTTAACTCAAAGAATGATAGAAATAATAACAAAATGGAGATGACTAATGGAGTAGATGGAGAGAGAATATAATTTAGTGGGTAAATGAAAACTAAAAGGGACTCAAATATTTCAATCAAGCTCTACCTCTCGTTTTCCACCAATCCAGGTGAGGCAGTGGCTGTACTGAACCGGTGCCTGGCCGAGGTAATGGGCTGGATGAGGGCCAATAAACTGAAGCTCAATCCAGACAAGACGGAAGTCCTGTTGGTTGGCGGTTCGGGCTTCGGAGAAGGTGAATTGAACCTTGCCCTGAACAGGGTTGCACTCCCTCCCAGGGACAAGGTCCGCAGCTTGGGAGTGCTCCTCGACCCGGAGCTTTCACTCGAAGCTCAGGTAACAGCAGCGGCGAGGAGCGCTTTCCTCCAGCTTCGGCTGATCCATCAGCTGCGCCCCTACCTGGAGTACGACTGCCTTGCAACAGTGACTCATGCACTGGTGACTTCCCGTCTTGACTTCTGTAACGTGCTCTACGTGGGGCTGCCCTTGAAGACGGTCCGGATACTTCAATTGGTTCAAAATAGAGCTGCCAGGCTGCTGACGGGAACTGGACGTTATGCTCACATGACTCCAGTTCTCCGTCAGCTTCACTGGCTTCCCACTGAAGTCCGGGCCCAATTCAAGGTGTTGGTGATGACCTATAAAACCCTAAACGGCTTGGGTCCTGGTTACCTGAAGGAGCGCTTATGTCCATATATGCCCAGCCGCCCCTTGAGATCAGCAGGAGAGGCCCTCCTCCGGGAGCCCTCAGTGAAGGAAATTAGGAGGGTGGCTACTCGGAGGAGGGCTTTCTCAGCGGTGGCGCCTAAGTTATGGAATGCGCTCCCCAGAGAGGTCCGCCTGGCGCCGTCATTATTTGTTTTTCGGTGACAGGCGAAGACCTTTTTATTTAAGCAGCATTTTAAATGTTAATATTATTGAATTTTATTTGGCCAGGGCGGCTTATTTTATTTTACTGTATATATTTTAATTGTTATTGTTTTAATGTATTTTGTATTTGATGTTGTAAGCCGCCCCGAGGCCTTGGCAAGGGGCGGCATAGAAATGTTTTAATAAATAAATAAATAAATATTAACAAAAATAGTTATAACATCCAAAATATTAGCAGGAAAACAAAATACAGAACTCTATCCATTTATGATTGCTGCAGCTTTTACACACTCATCCTCCTGTGTTGTTTTGAATCTTACTTCTGGTTAATCATGAGAATCAACCCATTCCTTTTTGAGACAGAACTAAAGCTTCCCAAAAGGTCCACTTCACACATTTGTCTTCACTCATATATTCTTTGCTAGAAGTGTTGCCATCACTCCACACCACAAGCCTACATTCCTATATCCTCTGCCAATTCTCTTATTGCATCCTTGGAATAGTGATTCATTTAAAATAAAGCCACCTACCTTTAGCTGTAGATACATCTGCTGAACCATGGTAACATTTAACGCATTCAGTGCTTTTGGCCTGTTCATGGTTATAACACCAGCACAGCCTCTTTTTTCCAACAGAACGTCAGCTGAAGTATCCATGGCCGTTGACATACTCTGGATACAACAAGTGAAATCAACTCAGTTTGGGTCATGACTACACTATGCAATTCTCTAGAGTCACCGTTATTTGGTAAAAGCTGTGTACTTTTACGAACAACTCAGGGCACAATCCCACACTTTAGAACAGAAAAGGCCCTATCACTCCCAGGATGCTTTTTCTGTCAAATCAAGTATAGGCTTGTGCCCTCCTAAAGTACTTTGAGGCAGAAGAGTCTGGAAGTCTCAAACAGTGCAAGAGAGACTGGAGATCCTAACTCGGCCTATGGCAATGTCTGTACTGAGTGCCGCCAGCTTAGAAGTCCCACCTACCAATGCCACCTCTCCTCCCCTTCAAATATCTCCCCAAACCCAGCATCACCCATGATCCTTTTGGCTTAATGCCTTATTCTTCCTTTCCTTGGGTATTCTCCAATTTCTCATCCTATCTAGCACACCACCTCACTCATTTATAAATATACTAGAGCATACTACAGAACGTTATTTATTTAGCTTAAAGAATTAGCTTAAAGAAAGTCAGCATTCTAAGAGAAGTTCACAAGTTAGAAATACCCCAGAGCCCACATTCTACCTGTCTACCCTATGCTCTGCAATCCTGCTCTGCAGACTGAAGGGTCTTTGACCAACCTGCAAGCCAGCCATTCCTCTCAATATGGGTTGAGATTTAACAAGTTACTTTAGGCACACCTAGAAGTTCAGGCACAGCCACAGAAATCTGCCTCTTCCACTCCCTTTGAACAATAGGCCATCCTATCTCAGCTTGCTTTTGAACCTCCTCTCACCTTCGAAGGCGGTTTGGCTTCTGGCATGAAAAGCTGATAGTGAGGACATAATCCACCCTGACTTGCAAAACAAGTTATGAAGTCCTTAGTATCCTCGCCTTTATATTAATTTCAAACACACATTAGTCTATTCAACATAAAGGAGAACGTGCCAACCCCCATATACTTACTAAGTGTTGTACTATGTTCTGTAATCTGTTGAATGACTTCAGCCTAAAATAAGAAAACCAAGGTCAAGCACTTCACTGACAAAGCTAATGTAACTGCTTTAAGCAAGTTGTATATAAACTTTTGCCAAACAAGTTTCTAGACACTTCCAAATTTCCTAGTTCTCAATACACAAAATTCATTCTTATGCATTTTGTTTTATTACAGATTTATGTCAGTTGCAGATGTCATTAACAGCATACAGTAGGTTTCTCCAACATGGTAACTTCCCAATGTTTTCAACAACATCTCTCATCCCCGTTAACTATTGGTCCTGTTGGCTGGATCTGATGGGAGTTATCATCTCAAACAACTGGAGGACACCAGTTTGGAGAAGATTGGCATGTAAGTAACTATATTTTCAAAATCACTGGTTGAGGTATGTGTATGCTTTTCCCCTTTGCAGCAGCTCCTCTACCCATCTATCCCAAAAACACTCTGAAGGATTTTGGAGCTTCCCAGTAGACACAAAACATAGCTTATGGGGCCACAGTGCCAAGAGAATGCTGGTAAACACTTGTGCATGCATAGCTACAGGTCAAGTGCAGCCAAAGGTAACTTTAGATCCATGTCATTAACTATACATCACAAAGACAAAGTAAACACCTCCCTTGTAAGCAGGTAACATGGTTGCAAGTGGGATCTAAAACGTCTGATGTTCAATTCAGAGAAATGCTTCAAGATGTTACAAAAATGAGTCCAATTGAAATTAGCTTGCCACACTCAAGGTCAAAATGGCCAATGTTATAACAGTCTAAAAGAATTACATAAAGCTAACTGAGGAGCCAGTCCATGTTTAGGAAGTACTGCTGCTGGAAGAGCAGTTTTTCAGGGCACATACTTTATAGAGAATCAGGCAAATACAGGTTACCTGCAAATCTTAGGAGAAATACACTTTATCTGAGTTTCCACAAAATGTTCAGCTTCTCTAGAACACAAGGGCACATCCCCCCTCCTATTTTGTGTGCACTTTAACACAACTGCATGTGCTTATTAGCTGCTTTGCTGAGAAGACTGCCTACTTCCTGAACCTCACCTACCTTAAAAGGCAGACAACAAACTACTTTTAACATGATATGGGTCACCTTCATATGACTTTATGTAAATTACATTGTGACATGAAAGCAGCACTGGGCAAACACTACAGCAACCTTGCCCAGACTGGTCCTCTCCAGAAGTTCTGGACTACAACTCCTAGGTTTCCTGACCATGCCAGTGTGGCTAACATGAAGTCTAAATTATCTAGAAAGCACAGCTTGGGGAAGACTGTCCCTACAGGAAGAATAAGTACCTATCCATGCGCACACGCCACTAATGTTTGTTGAGAGTGGTGCATAAATCATGAAGTAATCTTTATGTTCTGAGTGCAATCAATACTGGCTGGAACATGCTGGAAGCTGCCTAACCACACATGAAGTGCACCTTAAACCTACTTAACTCTGAATCTCAAAATTCAGGTGCTGTACTTGACATTCAGGCCTCTTGTCAATTAGGAAGTAATAAACTGTTAATATTATATGCACTGCAATCCTAAACAGTCTTCAACTGGACATTCCCAGGTAAGCGTGCAAAGGATTGCAGCATTAACCACTTTTTGGCACTTACAGTCATGATTATGAAGGAGTAAGAGATGAGCTTTTCACTGTTGGAAGTGCATGTCAACAGAAAAGGGGTTCACAGTAATCCATATATGACAGGCAGCTGGCACCATCGACCCACCCTTTCTAAATATAATCTCACCCAGCATGGCAAAACAACAAAATAGTTGCACAAAAATCAAAGCGGCTAAATGGACTATTAAAAATATCCAATGTCTACATAGCACAACAGCTATGAGCTTTGAGCTTGTCTAATGAAAGTATTACACTAGAGTAGCAGTAAGGCAACCCAGTGGCCTGCAGATGCACCAGACAACAACTCCCATCAGCCGTGACTATTGCCCATCCTGCCTGCGCTGATGGGACTTGTAGTTACGAACATCTGCAGGGGACCGTGTTGCCTCCACCTGCCATAAGGAATGTACGCTGAAATAGCCCAGTCCCAGGCATGCTTCTCCAAAAAAAGTCCCCCCGCGCTCAACGGGGCTTCTCCAGGAAGCAGCTGTTCCGAGCTGAGGGGAGGGAAGCGGAGCGAAGAGGGGCAACCCGGCCAGCCCCACGGAGAGGGCCTGCGCCAGCTACGTCACTCTCGATCCCCACCCGCGATGACGTCGGTGGGCAGAGCCCTGTCCCCGTCGCCCTCCTCGCCGGGAGCTACCTCGGAAGCCGCTGCCTCAGCCCCGGAGCCACGAGCAGCCCCATCGCGCCGCCGTCACGCTCACGCCCACAGCTGACGCCCGGGCTGCCGGGCCACCCAGCGAGGCGCGGACTGATGACATCACCGATCCGCGTCGCAACACAGAGCGCACGTAGCCGCCAAACTTTGAAGCGAAGACCACAGAGTCCGTTGCCTAGAGGGGAGGAGGAGAGAAACACAGAGATAAGCAATTTAGAGGAATGCATCTGACTGTGTCCAGGAGTATTCGCGTTCTTATTGGAGAAGCCATGTTTTTAAACTGACCGGTGTTCAAGTGAGAACTGCTCATAGGAACAAATTGAAAAATTAATAATTTTGCCGGGAAGCACTGTATCTCTCAAGAAATTAGCGTTAGCCGCAAAGTTCATGGCCTGAATCCCTATACGTACTTAGTATGTGGGTGGAGAAACCGTATTGTTAACCTTTGATCTATGTATTGTGAAAGTAAATAACTAGCTATGCCAATATAAGCTGCAGATGGGTTAGAGGTCTGTGGTTAGAAGAGTGACTTGAGATAGCCCTACACTCTAGGCCATTCTTAATATTACAGGTTGGGGGTCAGGTCGAGATTCGTACAATAGCCACGCATGTTGTCTGAGAAAGATATGTCCAGTGCTGTGGTTGAGTGTATTCCGCTGTTAGTCTAACCTTCCAGTTAAACCTCCCTACAAATTACCCCTCCGCTTGCAGTAAAAATTGACCGCCGTTTGCCTTCCCTTGCCCGCTTAAATCCGTCGCTCAATGGTCTGTGGGACGTTTCAGTCCCACGACCTGAGTCCTACGTTAAGGAAGAGCTGGAGCTCGCACCTTTCGCAGCTCTTGTTTGCTTGATCAAACATTTTGCACTGCAGTTCCCAGCATCCCTGTCCATTGGCCATCCTGGGTGGAGCTCATGGGAGCTGAAGTCCAAAACCGGTGAAGAGGGCAACAGGTTGGAAAGACCTGCTGTATTTTTTCCCGGAGGAACATGTCGCCACGAAAAAGGGGCGAAACCACGCATCTCTTCGATTTTCCATCTGGATGGAGGACCTGACCTGACTTCTTTTCCAAGACTGCCGATCCGTATGATCCTTGACGCCGCTGAGTGGCGACTGTGGCAACTGCAGCCTCCTTCCTGCATGCCGCCCCGCTGTCCGACTATGGGCAAACAGAAGGCGTGTGCAGACTTAACTCGGTGCCTCTTGATGAAATGCAGCACAAAGCTTGGCCTCAAGATGGAGCGACGGAGTGCCTCGGAAAAGGTCCGCAAGAGCTGGAGCCCCAAGTATATGGGGAACCTTCTCCCCACCCCCCAGCCCCGCTGTCCATGGTGCTTGCTGCAATAAAGGTACGGGGCCCCTTAACATCGCTGTCGCACCTGAACCCATGGATGAGCCCACATGTGCTTTACTTCCTGCTGCGCCGCTCTTGAATTTAAATGCAGAGGGTCCCCCACCCCGCAATCCAATATCCTCCTCTCCCCTATCTAAACATCCCTTTCACAAATGCTGCAATCCTTAGAAGACGTGCTCCTACAGTCGGAAACGTGAGAGCATATTGAACGGTCACATGCAAATTTGTTCCCTGGCTTTGCTCTGTGGGCCTGTGCCGCAGACCTTTTCTGTACCAAGCAGCAGTCTGGCTGCCACTTCTCCTAGCAACCTTGGACCCAAGCTATATTTTTAATCATGACCTAGCACAGCAGTTTCACTCTTGGACCCTGCAATGACACACCTGTTAAATGCCTGCTTTATTGTTTTGAATATATTAATTTGAAATTATTTTAGCTGCTTTTAAGAGCAGAACGACTTTAATAAAACAGTCAATGCAGAGGTAACAGTGCAGAGGGAGGTTAGGAGAGAGAAAAGTATTATGAATTAGACAGGCATTGCAACATACTTATTGATGTTGTCATTATCATTACATTTATTAAGTGCTTAAAATGGTTTTTATTATATTATTATTATTATTATTATTATTATAACATTTCTATGCCGCCCTTGCCGAAGCCTCGGGGCGGCTTACAACACAATAAGATACATTCAAATACAATAGAACATAATAAATTACCACTTAAATACAAAAATACAAAAAATACACTGAGATACAATAATATCAAATTAAAATTAACCGTATAAAATAAGTAAATAAAGAATATAGGAGAAGAAAAGAGAAGGAAGAAGAAGTTGCCCTGGCCAGATCATATATTTTAACAATTAAAATGATGTTTAAATAAAAAGGTCTTTATCTGGCGCCGAGAAACCAGTAACGACGGTGCCAGGCAGACCTCTTTGGGGAGTGAATTCCATAGGTTGGGTGCCACTGCAGAGAAAGCCCTCCTCCGAGTACTTACTCTCCTAATTTCTTTCATGGAGGGTTCCCGGAGAAGGGACTCTCCCGCAGATCTCAAGGGGCGGTCGGGCATATACGGACGTAAGCGCTCGTTCAGGTAGCCAGGACCCAAGCCGTTTAGGGCTTTATAGGTCATAACCAACAGCTTGAATTGGGCCCGGGCTTCAATGGGAAGCCAGTGAAGCTGACGGAGGACTGGAGTCATGTGAGCATAACACCCCGTCCCCGTCAGCAACCTGGCAGCTCTATTTTGCACCAGTTGAAGTGTTCAGACCGTCTTCAGGGGAAGCCCCACGTAAAGCGTGTTACAGAAGTCTAGGCGGGAAGTCACCAGCGCGTGTCACCGTCGCCAGGCAGTCGTACTCCAGGTAGGGGCGCAGCTGATTAATCAGCCGAAGCTGAAGGAAGGCGCTCCTCGCCACTGCTGTCACCTGAGCTTCCAAAGAAAGCTCCGGGTCGAGGAGTACTCCTAAGCTGCAGACCTTATCCCTAAGAGGGAGTGTTGCACCATTCAGGACCAGGTCAAATCCACCCTCTACGAAGCCCGATCTGCTAACCAACAGGACCTCCGTCTTGTCTGGGTTGAGTTTCAGTTTATTGGCCCTCATCCATTCCATTACCTCGGCCAAGCACCGGTTCAGCACAGCCACTGCCTCACCTGGATTAGTGGAAAACGAGAGGTAGAGCTGGGTATCATCAGCGTATTGATGATTCTGCCCACACCTCCTGATGACCTCTCCCAGTGGTTTCATATAGATGTTAAATAGCAGAGGGGATAGAATGGAGCCCTGTGGTACTCTATGGCATAACTGCCATGGCGCAGAGACATGGTCCCCCAGCACTACCTTCTGGAATCGACCGTTGAGATAGGAGCGGAACCACTGCAAAGCAGTGCCTCCGACCCCCAATCCCGCTAGCCTATCCAGAAGGATACCATGGTCGATGGTATCGAAAGCCGCCGAGAGGTCCAGAAGAACTAACAGGGACGCACTCCCCCTGTTCTTCTCCCTGCACAGGTCATTGTACAGGGTGACCAAGGCAGATTCAGTACCGTACCCGGGTCTGAAGCCGGACTGAAAAGGATCCAGATAATCAGTTTCATCCAAGAGTGCTTGGAGTTGTCCCGCCACCACTCACTCCAACACCTTGCCCAGAAACGGGATGTTGGCCACAGGTCTATAGTTAGTGGCCATCTCTGGATCCAGTGACGCTTTCTTCAGGACCGGTCGTATTACCGCCTCCTTTAAAGGGGCAGGCACTCGACCCTCCCTCAGAGAAGCGTTAACCACTTCCAAGATCCAGGTCCCAATCCCTTGCTTGGAGTTATTTATTAACCAAGACGGGCAAGGATCCAATAGGCAAGTGGTGGGACGTACTCGTCCAAGCACCTTGCCCACATCATCGGGCCGCAATAATTGAAATTCCTCCAATAATTTTGGACCAGACGGTAGCATTTGCGTCTCCCCAGAGACCTCTGATTCATTGGTGGAGTCCAGCTCGTGACGAATCTGAGCGATTTTCTCCCTGAAATGCCTGGCAAAGTCGTCACAGCGGGCCTTTGAGGGTGGCATCAGATCTTCCTTAGGACCCGGGCGAACCAGGCCTTGTACCACTCGAAAAAGCTCCGCCGGACGGCATTGTGAGGAGGCAATGGAAGCAGAAAAAAACTTCTTTATAATAGATGATAGCCCCCTAAAATGACCTAGTTCAGGAGGGGAAGGAAACCTGCAGCCCTCCTGGGATTCTTGGATTTGATTCCCATCAGCCCCAACCAGCATGGCCAAAGATTTGGTAAGATGGGAGTTTTATTCAAACCACATCTGGGAGCCCCCAGTTTTCCCTTTACCATATAGTAATTTTAAAACATCAAGACAATTGGACATTATTAATAAATATTGCTGCTGACATATGTGGTAGAATACATATGAACAGGATTTTAAGATATTTAAGAACATCAACCTATTTATAGTTATTGTATATTGCATGAGAAATGAAGAACCTCCTATATGTGTGCCTTGTTTGGGGGAAATTATTTACAGTTTTGCACATTTCCTTTTAAAAATGACAAATTTACTGATAGAAATAATAGCTAAACTTTACAAAATGTGCATTGGACAAGAGGAAGAATAAATGGAGAAAGATCTCTAGGCAAAGTTTTACTTAACAAACATGAGTGAGAAAATTGCTAAAGATAAGTCTTGAAACTGACAGCATAATCATGCATGTTTACTCTAAAGTAAATTCCACTATATTCACCGGGGCTTACAGCATGGTTGCTTGTTTTGCACCATGCTAGGGTGATTAACAGCTGGCTGGTTTGCATAATTATCTTTGCAGAGTCCAGCTTCTCCTGTCTTTAGAACCTGTCCACTGCTTGCATGTTAGCTGATCTGTGTAATTACCTTTGCCAGGCATATCTTCCTGTGTTTATTTACTTATTTAGAAAATTTCTATGCTGCTCCATTCGCCAAAGCCTCAGGGTGGCTCACAAAACATCAATTAAAATAT